TTTTTGGTAAATAATATACCTATATTTTATATGTATATATTTATATTATATTTTTCATAGGTACATTATTGGATATGTAATTTACAGATTTTTTTGTTGTTGTTGTTGTTGTTGTTGTAATTTTAGGGGGCGAGATGTGAGAGGGAATGACAACTAAAAGAAATGGGGTGATTGATATGCTATTAATAGGGAGTATATTAATTACAATTATGGCAGTTAATGAAATGCTTGAAATAAATTATAAATAAAATATGAAGTTTAGTAGCAATGATGTAAAAACATAGAAATACTACGACCTCTTATATCATACTAGTCATTTAAATTTGAATTTGGGTTTTACACATAGATTTATAGAGCGATGGGTATATGTCTAGGAAATAGAAAATGTAGGGATCTATATTGGACAAGCCCAAGTTTCAAACACGGTTGAAACTAAGACGCTGACAAAGAAGGGACTGGTAGCTGGTTTGATTTTTGAGGAGACTTTGATTATCTGGAAGTAAATTAAAGTCCTCCACGATACTTTATTCCACGCTTAAAAAGTTCGCATCTCTAGCTTGATTGACGCTTCTTCGTTACCAGCATCTCTAGCTTCATTGACACTTCTTATAAGTTATATACTCTCTCTCAAGTCAACAAGCCAATATTCATTCTCAGTCTTTACTCCTTTGGTTTGCGATGCCCTTTTTGTTAGTAGTATGAATTGGATTATTAATAGAGAAGTGTCCATGCATCACAAACTTTGGAAGCATATAGACACTGTATATCAATAACATAAAAGTTGATTTTGTTAGTAGTATGAATTGGATTATTGATATAGATTAACGCACACAATTGTCACATAAGCCATCAAGCCTCGCTAAAATGTATATATACATATACTAAAGTTCAATCCAACTCTACGCTGTATTTAAGCACAGTGTAATGACGGAAATGCCCTCTTTTTACTATTATTTTCAATTTTGTTTTCTCATCAACACAGTGAATTGTCGAAAATGTTCTCCACTTAACCTTTTCTGCTATTCCCTTTTTGCCCCTTCTCCTTCTGTCTTTCTTCCCCTGCGAACGTTTCGTTCGCTCAAAGAAGGAGTTCATTTCCAGTTGATTTCGAACTAGCTGGTTGGCCTGGCTGGGGGGCAGCGATGGAAGATTTGCGTTCACTATTAGAGATGCTTTGGCGGCCGTTGATTAAATAGACTGGGGTTATACTTTTGTCCATCATATTAATAGAATGCTTGATGTACCTAAATTTTTGTGTTGTCTTGTTGGATTTTTGAACTTAATTATGTGATAATAATTATTGTCTTCACTCAAAATTTTTCATTTATCTACACTAACACCTGTCATTTTCCAAATTTGTACCAACATAGTTAAAACCTCCGCAGAGGATAAGAAAGAACATAAACCACCTCTACAGCAAAGCTAACAAGAGAAAGAATCCCTTCTAACAGAGATCAAGGTTGAAAAATCCTCTTCCATCACCTAGTAGCATATATATAAAGACCTATCCAAACTCTTTTGAACAATGAGCAGCTCAATATTACCGATATTTTGATGTTTTGACTTCTACTTGATTTATTAAAGGGTTAATTACAGTTTAGTACCCTATGGTTACATCCTTAAGGCATGTTAGTCCATATCTTTTCGATTTTAACAATCACATACCCCGGTCTTTAAAATTTATTACAATGTGGTTCTGTTGTTAAGGTTTTTGTCAAATCTCTCTGTTAGTTGCCTACGTGGCACGGTGGGTCCACATTTTTAAAAATTTTAAATTTTAAATTGATTAAAATATGAATAAAATATTAAAAACCAAAAATATTTAAAAAAATCTAAAAAATTAATAAAATCTCTCTCTCTCTGCAACGAACCCCGAACCCAGCTCTCTCTCTCTACCCTTTTCTCAGTTTTCTACCGATGTCCAGCAGCGCTGTTTGGATGTTCCCCTCCAAATCCTGCTTCTCTTCTCTCCTCAACGTCGTCTCCACCAACCCTTTTGACAATGGCTTTGATTTGGGCTGCGACAGTGGCTTTCTCAGCTCCTTCCAGGGAAACCAACCTTCCAATTCCTTTGCTTTGATGGGTTTCACAGCCATCAATTCTCAATCTCAGATGGGTACTCCCGAATTGAGTTCGAGCGTCGAGTTCCCAACGACTCGGTTGCTGTCAACGCCCAACAACGACACTGAGCTCGATGGCAACTTCAGCCTTACGGGCTTCCAAGGCTTCGATGGCTCTGGGGGTGCTCAGCTACTCAACAGGGCTAAGCCACTGAGACCCCTTCACGTATTCCCTCCCGTGGGTGCTCATCCCACTCTCTTTCAGAAGGGAGCGGCGCTTCGTCAAAACTTCGCCGGTGACGGGACCGATAAATTGGGGAATTTGGAGATTTCGGGAACCGCCACCACCACTGCCGTTGGCTCCGCCGCCGCCGAGAGAAGAAGACAGTGCTGAAGAGGATGTGGAAGGGCTTGGGCTTCTTGTGGTGTCAACAACAGAGGTGGGCTCAGTGTTGCCCACATAGCAATTCTCCTTGTTGCTGTTTTGATTCCACTTTTGCTGCTGCTGCTGCTGATTGTGGTGGTGGTGGAGATGTTGATTTTGCGGGGGCTGTGGCTCTGAAATTGAAGAAGAGAAATCTAACTCCCCCTTCCCTTGAAGCTGCTCAAAGGGTAAGGGCATGGCCTTCATCTAACAAAATAAACACTGACCCAAATACACACAAACCCAAGAACCCAGCAACCTCCAGTTTTTTCAAGACCAACACAGAGAGAGAGAGAGAGAGAGAGAGAGCTGGTGGTGGTGTCATGGGGTAGAGAGCAGGGAGAAGAGAGAGCTGGGTTTTGAAATCGTTGCAAAGAGAAAACGCGCAGAGAGAGAGAGAGAGAGAGAGATTTTTATTTTTTTGGTTTTTAATATTTTAATCAATTTAAAATTAAAAATTTTGAAAAATGTGAGACCCACCCTGCCACGCAGGCAACTAACAAAGAGATTTGACAGAAACCCTAACGGTAGAACCACATTGTAACAAATTTCAAAGACCTAGGTATGTGATTGTTAAAAGGGAGTTTCACTAAAACACCCAAAATGGAGGTTGAAATTATAAAAAAACCCAACACCCAAAACACTTTATAAACACACCCAAAACTCATCATTACACACACTCAAAACCCATTTATAAACACACCCAAAAAGTTGACTTTGAAGTTGATTTTGGGTGTGTTTCTATGTTTAAATAGTGCTTGGGTTTTTTTATAAATACATGTCTAGAATTGGGTTTATTTATAAATTTGTATTGTTAAAATTGAAAATATAGAGACTAACATGCCTTAAGGATGTAACCGTAGGGTACTAAACTGTAATTAACCATTTATTAAAATATGGTCAGTATTTTAACATGACAAACAACATAAAAAACATGTTATTATCCTATTTTTTGTAACTTAGACTTGCTAAACAAAGCATGATGCCACTATTTATATAAATAATACCATCTTTCCTACATATTTTCACAACTTTGTACACATTTCACAAGATTTTAAAACCCATAGCATTGCGTGGGCACCATTGCTAGTACTTACTAGGTCCCTAGAATTCGATTGGTACTTCCATCTGTTTGATCAAGCACGAACAACCTCGCCATGCTAAAATCTAATATATTACCTCGCCATGCTAAAATCTTGGGGTTTATTTTTGCATCTATTAAGACAATGACATTTCCATGCATATTGTATATAGAATGGTGTTGATTGGTTCAGTCCGTAAGAGCATCCACAATGGGGGGGTGTAAATTCGGGAGTGTAAAACCACTTTAACATCTTCTTTATACCTCCGGGGGGTGTAAATATATTTTTTGCTCTAGTGGAGGGGTGTAAATTGAGGGTGTAGCCGTGTGTTCCAGCTTTTTATGTTGACTTTTCTTCATTTTTCTTCTCTTTTCTCGGGTGGATCCCGCCTACAAGGGATGTAAAAATAGATGTAAATATACATTTTATTTTACATCCCCATGGTAGTGATGTATATTTACATCCATTTACATCTCCCTATTGGAGACGATTCCAGTGACTCAAGGTGTATATTTAACATACAACCCCCCACTGTGGATGCTCTAATTGCTCAAGCCTAAGACAATGCATGGTTTTCAATTTCAAGCACACATAAATACAAAAGCAGTCAAAGACACCTCATGCCGTTTGCGTGGTGCCAATGCACCCTCTTTTATTTTATTTTATTTTAGTTTATGCTTGGGATATTTTAAATTATTATAAATTAATCTAATTGGCGTTTATAAATTGGCATGCGCATTCATTTTGAATTGGGCTTATCGTATTGTAAAATAATAAATAAATAAATAAAAACATAGAATAATCCTTATTTTTATTATTAGAAAAAAGGGAGTAATCCCTATTACATGGGTCTTGACAAATTCAAGCACTAACAAACGAAGAGTGCCCTTGTTAAATTCCAAATTGTAATAAAACAAAATTGAATAAACTTTGTTGCCCTTCTTCGCTTCCAGACTCTCTCACAAGAATGCAAATGCTGATAATATTAATAAGCATAATGACAATCCCAATCGTAAGTACGACGGTGGCGACACTTTTATTGTAATGTTACTCGTATTATTTCCCCTCATATTATTTCCTGCAAAAATCACAAGGCTCTGTTTGTTAGCGACGTGGTGTTAACTAATTGGGGGCTCAAACAAGAAATTAAGCAACAAACAAAAATAAATTATTATACCTTGGAAGGTTTATTAGGGTATCTGCTCCAGACTCTCAAGGAAAGGATTGGACTCAAACCTCAAATAACAGCTGGGTCTAAGAACTCTTCCTCCACCCTTTCTACCACAACACTCTGGAATTTCTGAGATGGACTCTTTAAGGCAATCCCTGCAGTTTTGTTTGTCCAAATCAGGGCTGCACTGGACAGTTGCATATATTGTTTCATTTGTTACAGGCACCGACGCATTCCCTGCTGCAAATTTTAAATCAGAGTCCCCTGCTGCAGCTTTCTCACTTAAATTTTCAAATAAGGGATCGCGCACCTGCTTGTACTCTTCAGCGTTTGATATTTCATTTGGGCTATCCACAAACTTAACAGGCTCATCTTTAAGCACACCGGAAATCGAGATGTTCGAGAATCGAACCGTACAGCGCTCTGCCCATATGATTCCTTTCTTCTGATCAGCACAATACTGCAGGAGAATGGGAACAGAGTTTTTGAAACAGATGCGGCAATCTTCGGGTGCAACGTCCCCTCTGCATACGGCAATTGCGTTCACTGTGTCCGGGGCTTGTCCCAGAGAAGAACTGTAAAATATGGGATTGATTTTGGGAGGAGAGGAGGGTGTTGAGGTTTTGTCTGTAGATGCCGCCATTGTTGGAGGCGTTGTTAAAAGTCTGCATGTCGTCATTGTCGACGCAGCTCCAGCAGTAGTCTGCTTTTTCCCTGCAAGCGCCCCTGGTATGGTGGCCCACTATGGTAGGAGCAAGAGGGGCCAAGACCAAGAGTATAGGAAGAACGAAGAAAATTAGCAATCTTGAGGAACCCATTTCTCTGTTTGTTCCTCCGTATGAAAATAACTTGGGCTTTTATAGCAAAAACTGGTGACTGCTTTGTCCAAGTTCACTGACTTGGCTTTCTTCTCATAGCCACTAGTTACGTTATTACAAGACCTTGACTAATAGGGTTATTTTCCTCCTTAGACGTATATAGGACATTAAGAGAAGACCTTGACTCTAGTTGTTGCCCCGGTCCAGAGGGTTGCTTGACTGCGGATGGATATTGGGAAGACAAAAGGGAGTAGCAAAAGTCAAGAATTCGTTTTGCGTACGTTTGCTTTTGGTTTTTTTCTTTCTTTGTTTCTCCTTTAGACATTTCAAAGAGAAGGCCTGACCTGTGGTGTCTGGACACTCACTGTTATCGGGTTGTCCCCTTAAACACGCGGACATGAGCAAGATTCAAGAGCCACTGTTAATTTGTTTTAACGAGTTAATTAGTACTTACCAATCAAGTAATCAAACAATTACATCAGTAATTACTTGGTGCCACAAATTTAAGGAAAAGAAAAGAAAAGAAAAAGAAATAAAAAAACTGGTTCATTCAATTCAACACATCCATTTTATATAATTTACGATATATATTAATTTAATATAAATAAGAAAGCTGCTCTGTTTCTAAACTAAAACCAAACTAAAGTACTTGACTTAATGGTGTGAATTCGTCCAATCCACTTGCAAGATTCTCATATTCAATTGTCTATTGCCCCAAGTCACCGCAGACTCCAGGGGAGACGTCACCTCGACAAAGGAATGGGCTGTAAACGGTAGTACTAGAATGAGTCCCTCAACTTGTTCTCTCTCCTCCCTCCTTTCTAAACAGCTGTACAACTTTTTCACACTCCCTCCAATTTTTTCACGCGTTCTCCCTTTTTTTCAGACTCCCTCTTGTTCCTCTCAATACCTTCTCCTAGTTAATTGCAGCCTTTTCATATATAATGAATATATATAAATAATATAATTTGAAATGATATGAAAATATTGCCTTCTAAGCTTATGCACGGGTAGGATAGATATGAATTAGCTCACCAGATTTAATTTTAGCTCAGCCATTTTAATTTTAAATCTAAGTCGGCCTAGGCTTGAAATATTTCATCGCAAACAAGTGCAAAGCTATGGGTCAACCACAAATTTAACCCACTTTACTTGCCCTTTTAAACCTTTTGAAGTGGAATATTTCAATAAAATTGCGACGAATATTCAACGGTATAGCCGCGCGGCTATACCCTTTAAATAGAAAGTTTCAAAAGTATAGCCGGCTATCCCCTCTTAACTTTATGAAGTAGAATATTTCAACAGTATAGCCGCGCGGCTATACTCTACAATTGGAATATATAGGAGGAATATTAGGCTTGGTAAATTACGAACATTATTTAGAAGAAAATTGAATAAAATTGATGTTGTGCTGCGTCAAAAATGAATGCTAAATCAAATTATTATATATAATTTCATAAATGTAGTTTCCATGCATGCATATATCTGCAGGCACTATCGAGGATACACTTGGGTGATCAGTGAAAGCTAATCTTCTGGTGCTTTAACAACAGAGTTGCTCTTGGATCGATCTGACCCGGTTCTCACCTCTGAATTACTCTGACATTCTGAACACACGTCAGATCCCGCACTATTGTGCAAAAAGAAAGCTGGTTTTGTGAACTGTTCTACAAGTTATTCATCGAGAGACCACACCCATATGATTATATAAGCCTACACCCAGAACAAATAGGGTCGCATTTTATGTCAATTCATTCCTAGTTAATTGCAGCCTTTTCATATATAATATTTGAATTTGCTTGAATGCTACCCGTATTAATGAATATATATAAATAATATAATTTGAAATGATATGAAAATATTGCCTTTTGAGCTTATGCACGAGCAGGATAGATACGAATTAGCTCACTAGATTTAATTTGAGCTCTACCATTTTAATTTTAAATCTAAGTCGGCCTAGGCTTGAAATATTTCATTGCAAACAAGTGCGAAGCTATGGGTCAACCACAAATTTAACCCACTTTACTTGCCCTTTTAAACCTTATGAAGTAGAATATTTCAACAGTATAGCCGCCCGGCTATACTCTACAATTGGAATATTCAACGGTATAGCCGCGCGGCTATACCCTTTAAATAGAAAGTCTCAAAAGTATAGCCGGCTATCCCCTCTAAATAGAAAGTTTCAACATTATAGCGGCGCGGCTATATAATATGAAGTTCTATTTTTTAATTACTTAATTAGTAGTTATGTTTTAATTTATTAAGTAAATTTAGGTTTTAGCCAAAAAAAAAATTTCACTTTTGGAAAAAGCCAAAGCTTTTTCAAAAAAGACAGAAAAATCTCTCAACTTTCAAATCAAAAACATGCAAATGTAAAGGATTCCTTAGGAAATTCAAAAATAAATAAGGGCAATTTTGTCCATTTTGACTTCTTTTACAAAATTATTTAGTTAGTGAATCATTAGTTTCTGAATTTAATATACGTTAATATTAAATTCAATAACGAGAAGCGGACATCAGTATGGCACGAATAACAAAAGGAAACGTATTAGATTCCAACATATCTTGTTCGCCTGGAATGCATTGGCACGTTAGAATCCAATGAAGGAAGCCATCTCATTGGATTGGTGGTCCTCGTGCCAAACATCTTTATTGGCTGCTTTTAGTTTATGAATTTAATTAAAATATTTAATACTAATTATTTACTAAAGAACTAACAATTAAAACATAATTACAAATGAAAGTAACTGAAAAATGATAAGATATTACTTAATTACTTGATGCGAATTTATGATAAATTTTCCAGATTACTTTAGAGTGATATGCACCAATTGGAGTGTCAGATCACAAACTGGATAGCAAATTCAGCTCCTAAGGAAACGTATTAAGTACTAAGAAACTAGTTGATCTCAGCGTGATTGAAATTAAGATTTAGGGCGAGTGCATAATTCACATTTAGCCTTTAATTAATGGAATACAATGATCTTTACTTAATTGTCATCTTCCTCAACGGGGCAAGTCATTAGAAATCGTCAAACCATTGGCTGAGCAATTATGAGCGTTTTCTTGATCATGGTGATCAGTAGATCTTCCTGTAAAGAAGGCTGGTTTCTCAGGTCTGGATAGACTACTGGTTTCACTTTTTAACACATTAGAACAACCGATGACATAGTTGGCCTCTTGTTTGCATCTTCTTGAACACACAATAATCCAATATGAATGTATCTCAAAAATTCATTTGGACTGCATGAGTCCTTCAACAACGGATCCATCAACTCCAACCCTTTCGTTTCGTTCCATAACTGCCAAGCCTGCAATTAATACCCTTCAAAGATGTAAGTACTACTCTTAAATTGAAAGCTACATTGATTAGTTTTTGAGAAACTTTTTGTATAGTTTAACCCAAATAAAGACCTTACATAGCCTATAAGAGTAGGTGCATGATTTGTTGGATGAAAGCCTAAAAAGTTTCCTTCTCCCCGTCATGATCTCAAGCAAAAGTACTCCGAAGCTAAAGACATCCGATTTTACCGAATACAATCCCTCCATAGCATATTCTGGAGCCATGTAACCTCTAATTGCAAGGCCAAAATAATTGACATGTGGGTTTACTAGGTGCCAACAATTCTTTTGGTGTTTCCTTGAGTTTGATCTTCAACTCCAAACATTCTTGCCATGCCAAAATCTGATATTTTTGGATTCATATTGCCAAAAATCTTATATTCTTGAGATGTGACCTGATTTGTTAACAACTGCAAGTATAGTGACGAAATTAGGAAAATTGAAATCACGGTGACTAAAATTGATTTCGAGCCAAACCCAGTGACCAAAATTGTAATTAACCCTAAATTTTAATCCATTAGCAATTTTTTCGAGATTAGAATTAAATCAGATGGGATATCTTATCAAAAGCCAAAACCAAGGATCAATCAAATGTATCAATCAAACACGCGTATCAAGGATCACATACACTTCCACAAGACCAAGCAAAAACACAGCAAGCTACAGATAATAGCTAACCAAAATGAGTTGCTGTCCTGAATATTCAGCAGTATAGCCGCGCGGCTATACTGTTAAATAGCATAATATGGATTTCTCTTTTTTAATTACTTTAATTTGTAGCTTTGTTTTAATTAATATTTAGTTAGTGAATAATTCGTATTTAAATATTTTATTGAAGAAAAAATTAATTACTATTTATTAAGTAATATAATTTTGGAAGTGAAGTAAAATATTTAATACTAATTATTCACTAAAGAAATAATAATTAAAACATATTTACAAATGAAAGTACCTAAAAAATGATAAGATATTACTTAATTACACTACAAATAGAATATTTCAAACATATAGCCGCACAGCTATGCTCTATTAGAGGTATATTTCATAGGTATAGTCGCTATACATGCAGCTATACCTTTCAATAGCATAATATGGATTTCTCTTTTTTAATTACTTTAATTATTAATTATGTTTTAATTACTATTTTGTTAGTGAATAATTAGTATTTAAATATTTTATTAAAAAAAATTAATTACTATTTATTAAGTAAAATAATTTTAAAAGTTAATTAAAATATTTAATATTAATTATTCACTAAAAAATAATAATTGAAACATAATTACAAATGAAAGTAACTAAAAATGATAAGATATTACTTAATTACTAAAAAGAAAATTTTTTTAAAAAATTATTGACCTAAAAATACTAAGTTTATATTTATTTTTTATAAACTACATACGATGTTAAAAGTATAGCCGCGCAACTAACTCTAGGGGCAATTAATAGGATCTATGCCGATCGCAACCCTACCCCAAGGTTTCCAATCCTCATAGGGCAGTCAGTTAGATCCAGCCAAATCCCAACGTCACCCATAGGCTACCAATCCCTTTTGGCCAATCGATAGGATCCATCCCGATCGCAACACTATCCCAAGGTTACCAATCCTTTAAGGGCAGTCAATTGGATACATGACGATCCTAATGTCACCTAAAAGTTACCAATCCTCTGGGGGAAATCAATAGGATCCATGTTGATCCCAACACTACCCTAAAGTTATCAATCCTCTAGAGCTAGTTAGTAGGGCTCGTTCTAATTCCAAGATAGCCCTAAGGGAATTGAAGTACGCTTAAACTTGCACACATTGTGAGAAATCAAACGGGAAGTAGAATCCTTCTGACCTTATTCAAAAACTCGAAGGTACAAGAAATCATAAAAGGCCATAGGCTAGAGCAAAATAAAACAAATGGATACTACGAAACAGAATATTAGACAACTAACTAGTTGGACTCACCCCACTAAAACTCCAGTGAGGATTGGGAATTGAAACCCAACTTATTATCAGTCCCTAACTTAATTTGTCTCTTTCAGGAAATTATCCCAATCAACGAACGAATAATCTGTTTTGGCTTTGTCATGGAAGTAGCTGATCCCTTGCTGGAAGCTGTCACGAATCCCCTCAAAGTGAGCAAGAGCCACAACACAGTCGAGATATACTAGATCCCTTTTAAGGCGAGTCAAAGTTTCCTTAAGTGAGTCTATTTCCCTCTCCATCTGATAATAACTTGTCCATGGAAAAGTCTCTTTGTCCCTATCAGGACGATGTCTGAAACGTGACGGCCTAGGGTCTTCCCCCATTTAATATGAAGAGTCAGCATCACCTATGTTCAAGCGAGAAGGTCTAGGACCCTCTCTTTCTTTTCTGACACAGTCTGGTGAGTGCCCACAACGAATCGAATGAGCGCCAGAATGAAGTCTGCATATGTTGTCAAATCTCGATCGAGTCCTGGATTTACATTAGTGACTATGCAACGAGTTCGGAACTTCGGAGTCATCGAATAACCTCACAGGCGAACCTGATGAAGAGCTTCCACCATAGTGGATATCTATTCCTGTAGCACCTCCTCTCTTGGGAGAGCATTCATTCTTAGGGATGTCAGCGCAAAGACATAAGTGAAGTTTTAGCCTACGCTTGTGAGTCATGATATCCAGGTACCTAAAACCCATCCTTAGACCCTCATTTTATAGCGTTAGTCAGAATAGCTCTGTTGGTTCAGATAATTGTCCAGAATTTCAAATTCAAAAAGTAGTTTTATTTGAAGAACTGAAACTCCAATCCTATTTAAGTTTTGAAAAGAGGATAGTGTTATCTCGATGAACTCAACCCGTAATACAAGATAGGATCGGAATAGATTTGAAAGTTGGAATGACCGGACGAATCACATCTAAGAGAACCCATAGCAAAGGTGGTTGTACTTATTTTAGTACTCACCCAGGTAAGACAAGTAAATTCAATACATAATTAGAATAAGCCCAATGTGAAACCCCATATTTTTAAATACGTATATTAATATTTCATAAAATTAAATATTTACAATTATTAGTCTTCAAAACTATATAATTAATAATATATCTATATATACAAATATAAGTTATATGGCAAGTTACGTGAAGTTAGCTATTAACTAGTATAGCCTAACTTTAATATTTAATCTACACACAAAAGCTTTTAGAATTATATTTGTGCCTACTAAGCTTTGACGTGTTGCATTCTGAAGTCTTCAAAAACCAATTGAAGATGAGGTGTTATTATTTATGCTTACTAAGCATTGTTGAAGACTGACGTGTTGCAATGTAGTGTCCTCAAAACCAATTAAAGCATGAGGTGTAAGAATGATGGTTATTCCTATATATATGAACTTGATAGGAGAGTGCTCACTAAGCACTCTACAAAGCCAACACAAAAGGCTATTTGAGAGTCTAGGAACCTATAGACTAATTAGGTGGCACAACATTAAGCTTCATCTAACCGACTCTAGCTTACTATAAATAGGTCTACTCAATAGTTCTTTGATCATAGGTACTTCAAGTGTGTTAGTTTCCTAAAAATCATAGACAGAAGAAAGAAAGAGTGAAGTGTGGTGAGATTTTGGAAAAAGCTCAACTGGGAAGTGTACAATAGCTTTGGATTTGAGGTAGGGGTTTTTCTTGGGGAAGTTTTGTTTTGCATATATTGAGATAATTAAATATTGTAAATACTAAATTATGCTTGATAATATTTGATTGTTGTTATGCTTGGTTATATTGTTTGATTGTTATCCTTGATATTAGATATATACATGTTGTCAATTATCATTATAATGTGATGAATTTTGACATATTCATATGTTGTCGGTGGTGGTTGGAATTT